GGAGGAGCAGGAGGAGGAGCAGCAGCAGCAGCAGTACTAGTAGCAGTAGCAGTAGCAGTGGCAGTGGCAATCGCAGTAGCAATAGCAGCAGCTGTACAAGTAACAACAGAACAGCAGAGGAGCACCACCAGCAGCAGTGGCAGCGGCAGCCGCAGCAGCCGTGTCATTCGTCTTGGTGATGACAGCAAGGCCGAAAACTGCCAGCAGAACACATCACCAGCAAGAACGAGTGCTGGCAACATTCTATATGCTTATCGAGGCAGAATGCTTGGCTTTGTGAAGCCGAGCCGCTCAGCATGCGGATTGCTCTCAGAGCCGTCACAGCCTGAACGGACTACAACAAGGGATCCGGGCATGCAGCTGCGCCTCTCACCAGTACCCCGGAAGCGGCCTGCAGGACATACCAGGTAAGCGTTGTGTCTGCAAGCTCTGTGACCACGACCCATATGGCAAGGTTGAAATACAAGTCCACCAAGCCGACAGCCTTGCTGTTTCAATCAAGGACATGAGGAGCTGCAACCCACAGCAGACTAAATTCAGGAAGCCACAGGGAATATGGGAAATTCAATGCTCAGGCCAAGCGTCCATGAGAAAGGTGTCGAAGGCGTTTGCCCCAGACTTACAGGGATTTCTCCGATAAACGACCACGAGGATGACCCACTCGATTAGGAAGGCAATGTCAAAGAAGGAGTTAGAATATCGAAAGAGGTGTAAGTAGTCTGTGAAGTCTGCACCGCCTTCCACGCCAAGTGCCGCAGCTGTAGAACGCCCCTTAAGCTCCAGTTCAAGGACTTGGCTGACGGAGCTCAGTATCACGAGGATGCCAGCACAGAAATCCGCGTAGGATCCAAACTGAGAATTTTGGGGGGGCTGCGGAGGCTCTGCTTGGCTTGCATCCACAACATTGCGTGAATTCTCCGTCGGCACCGCCCCAACTGCAGCAGCTGGATAGGACCCGTCGCTTGATGCCAGTGAAGCATGCATCCTCCATTGCATGGAGTTGGTGCTCGATTCGATCGTCTGGCTCGTCGGGCTCATCTGCCTGTCCATGAAAACTGGTTCCAAGTTAAGCTCCTCCTCCGCGGGGGAGCCATCAAGCGCCACACGTTCTCCTGCGTCTTCCATTTAACAAACATGAATCAAACTGGAGGGAAACCCCGCTCAACACCCCGGGTTGGGTCCGCAATCCGTCCCCTCTCACCACGAAGCATCGATCAAAAGCTTTGGGGAAGGCTAGTAGCTACTAGCAACTATTAGCGAGTATTGCCCTCGGCTCTTTCACCTTTTTGCTGAACTTGGAGCGAGCAGCCAATTTGACCCTGCTCTGCGATGGTGGGAAGACGACCTCGCTCACCTGGGGCAGAACAATCAAGTGCTCGTGACCGAAAACCTCATCTGCACCCCTTCGGATGAAGATGAGAAAGTGTCGGCCTCCAACGCTGGCAGCTGATTTCGATGCCGAGGCGGCACCCGGGGCGCTTGCAAACGCCACCTTTCTGGAACAGGCGGCAATGAGAAAGCAAAGCAGCGGCAGTTCATGTTCTTCCGCGGACTGCATCTACGGGTGACCTACTCGGCGTCCACCCAGCAGCCTACATGAGAACGAACCCTGTCTACCAATGCAGCGAGCCTTAAACCTGCTTGTCAGATGTAGTATCAACAGAACAGAAAGTCTCAGTCTGATCCATGACACATCTGCTTTGCGCCTGGGACGGTGTACGATTACGTATACGACAGGAAGCCGAGGAGTAGCCAAAAGAACATATGCAAATGCACCTCCAGCTCAGATTGGTGTGCGTCCAGCAACGTGGTCAACCTTGGCTGAATCGATGCATGGGGCTGCGCTTGAAACGGAAGTTAGCACGCATCAGATGTCATGTTGCTCCTGCAACATGAGTCTCATGTCTTCACCTGCTCTTTGCAAGTCGGTCAACTGCAGCCGGTGCCGTTGCACCAGCTCTTGCAGAGGCTCCATTGTCTCGACGAAGGCGCTGGCTGTACTATTCGAACGTCTTGTTTTGGCGCGGACGAGCGATTAAGGCTTCCAGGCACTATAGAGGTGGCAGTTGTGAGACTGCTGCGTATTCCGCATGCTGAGGCGTTCGGTTCCTGAGATATTTCTAGCATGCACGGCAGGACGTACGCCCAGCACAGGTTCCAGCTGCATCTGCGGTGATCTTGCTGTTGAAGCGTGGCGCGGCTTGAAAACGAGGCTGCAGCGATGCAAAGCTCATGGCATGTCATCATGGGAGGGGCACAGTACCACCACATTGATATGCGACGGCATGCATCGAACAGCGTCCTTGCATCAGACAAAGACATACAAAGACCACAAGTTCGGAAAGGTGTTGTCAAGGCTTGAGTCTCTTGGGTTGGGCCAGGCAACATCCTAAGGAGCGATTTAGTCTTCATTCGCCTCGGCATTGGCGAAGCGGTGAGAGGTTCCCTCCTCCCTTCCCACGAACCTCCTTCCCCTCTTTTAATCCAGGGCCTGCGCTTGGAGGTCCCCCCCCCCACCTCCTCCCTCCAAGCGGTTGGAAGGAAGCCCGGTATGCCTACATCTAAGAGCTGCAAGCGTGCGATATCCCGGCAGATCCTGGGTCCTCGATCTGCCTGGCTGCTGTCTCGAAGGCTGCCCGCGCAGAGGGCTCGCAAAAGCAGAACACGGCCAGCCTTCCCACGCAGAGCCCGTGAGCGGGATGGAACCAACATTTTGAATTGAAGAGACAAATCCTCCCCGGGCTACAGGGACTAACTCTCACCCATTCGTCCATGAGGCACGGATAGGCACGGGAACAAGAATCAGCGATATCATGTCCAGGTCCATTGTTATACAGTTCAGTGCGGCGTCGGAATAGAGGTAGCGCTTGCGGTAGTATTAGATTTAGTGATCGTTTCTCTTGTTAGTACTGGTAGTAGTCGGAGTGTTAGTCTGAAATCTAGTGAATCTAGTGATGTCGTGTGTCTCGCGAGTATGAGTAGAAGAGTATTCATCTTGGAATTTGAACACACATATATACACACACAGACATACATGATCTCGGGTCCGGGAGACTAACCCTCATAGTATCCCCGCCCTCCAGGCCCAGGGCTGTTTGCGACAACCGTCAGGGGCGACCCGTTATCGTTTTCTTACATGCGCACATACATCCAAGATCCATACATCCATACTGTACATGCATCCTACATCATATGCCATATGTAATATCCATTTGCCATATCCCATCTCCCAACCGTCATACATGTACATGTATGAAACTCTATGGACATATTCACACCTGCGACATGCAAGATAAATAAACACTCGGCACATACACGTACGTAAACATGCCACGCCTGGCCGATCTTTGCTTGAAGTCATTGTCTTTCGGCATGCGCCGACGCTAAGACACGAAAACCCTTGCAAGCAAGGAAAGCCTGTTCTCCTTCTCGAAGGCCATCGCGGCTTCAACGGTCTCCAGCTCGATCGCCGGCGGACCCGCTTTCTTCAGCACCCATGTCACAACACCTTCGTGCAAAAAGGGCGGACAAGCTCGTCTTTCTGGCCAAACGAGTTGGGAAGTGGCCAGCTCTTGAAAAAGTACATTTGCTACAGTGCTTGTCACCGCCACAAACCATGACGACGACAATGTCAAGAGCAGCGAATATGAGCATATGTTTGCTCAAACCAAGTATGTTTGGATTCAGCGCAAGTCGAAACATCCAAAGAACTCTTGTTCTGTCACTCACGTCGTGTTAGTGGACCTGCTTCTTCCTCATGGAGCACATCGCATACGCATGTGGCACAGGCGTTTGCCATCGTCGGCGGGCACTTGAAGAGCGTTGAAGTCGACGTTAAGTGCAACGAAGCAGCTCTGTGCTGTCCGGCCACCAGTATACTCCTGTGGCTTGTGGCCGGGTCTTGAGCTGTAGACTTGACTTGATGCATGCCCTCGTCCTGGTCACGGCCTGCGATGAACAGGCGAATGGTCGGGTAACCTCTGACGCTGTAGTCCTGACGTCCAAAGTCATCATGAAGGACAAGCCTAGGCCTGAATTGCAAGTAGCCAAAAAAGACTGCTCATGCCAGTCCTCGGCCAACTTCAGCTCAGCTGTTGCATCTACCTCTCCACATGTGGCCGGATAAGGCGTCACAGGCCGGACCCCAAATCTGCAAAAAGTTGCTGCATGCTGTACGCTGGACGCTGGAAGAAATGTCCGGTATCAGGGACTGGTTTGACATGAGGGTGCTTTACGGAACCAATGCAAATACAGCAAGCGACTTGTCTTCACACCTCGCACTGTGGCGTATTCTGCGGGAAACGAAAGCGCGCCTTCGCAAGTGGAATAGGCTGACTTGCCTGCTTTAGCTGCTTTGCCGCTTCAGCATACTCTGGCGCGAACCTGCACATCTGGAACTGCTATCACCATTCACAAGCGGCACACTGCAGTTCCCAGGACGAAAAGATTCCGAGCAACACTTCCCCTGCAGTGACGTGTCCTATCTTTACAGAGGATGGCTACCGGCTACATCGTAAGCTCGAAGACGCCTTCGCCTGCCGTGATTTGCTTGGACTGGCTGAAGGATTTCGGCCCAGCGGCTGCTTACAGTGCCCACACCATGGAGCATAGAACTCTACCAGGATGTAGTGGTACTTCTCCAAGGCCGCCCGGAAGTTTTTCCTGGGCTTTACGTGGAAGTTGCTGGCCGGGACCGATTGGATGCTCCCCTCGCTGCATCACTTGTCGAAAGGAGGCGGAATGCCATTCGCAGACAAGCCTCTCAGTGAGCACAAGAACACCGTCCTCCTCGGGAAAATCTTCCTGCGCAACACTTACACAGAGCAGGCAGAGGCCAAGCCATCTGAAGATCCGCGGCATCGCCGGCCTCCCGTTTCGATCCGAAAATCTTGGTGCTAGTGCTGTCCCTCACTCATAGAGAGAGAGAGAGAGAGAGAGAGAGAGAGAGAGAGAGAGAGACATACAGACAGACAGACAGACAGACAGACAGACAGACAGACAGAGACAGACAGAGACAGACAGAGACAGACAGAGACAGACAGAGACAGAGAGAGCGACAGAGAGAGCGACAGAGAGAGCGACAGAGAGAGCGACAGAGAGAGCGACAGAGAGAGAGAGAGAGAGAGACAGGGAGCGAGACAGCGAGCGAGCGAGCGAGCGAGCGAGCACGAAAGTCAAAGAGACAGGCAAACAGACAGAGAAGCAGACAGACAGACAGACCGACCGACCGACCGACGGACAGATGGACAGCCGGACGGACGGACGGACAGACGGACAACCCATGCAGGCCATGCAGCCCAGCCAGGCAGGCACATACTTGCAGGCAGGCACAGCAGATGCTCGGACAACTCACAGACGTAAACATGCTTAGATGCCGATGAGGGCCTTGTCTTCCCGGCCCGAGGTCTCGGGTCTTTGCAGGGGCGGAGCCACAACAGCCACCGAAACTTCTAAACCGAAAGGAAGCCTTTGATGAAAGTACGGCGCACGGATGGCGCTCACCGTGATCAACTCGCCAGCTCATGATGCTCGATGACCAGAACAGTACAGGATCTGAAGAACAAACGCCCTTTTTTCCAGCTCAAGGTGCACTCCATAGGCTTCAACCCCGCTTATTCGGGATGGAGGTTGAAGGCAAAGGCCTCGAGCTGGGTGATACAGGACAGGACCAGAAAGTATTCGCAAGCTGAACTCACGGCAAACATTGGTTAATTCACAGGTTACGAGTTCTGCTTTATCAACCCGTCGATCTTTTGCAAAGGCCCCTGCTTCTTGCTCAGCCTCTGCATGCTCAAGCTGGCAAATTGAGTGCAGCCACTGATGCAAAGCCTCAGTCTTCCATCTCCTCGTCCTCGTCTTCATTCTCTTCCATGAAGAGATCGTCTGGCAGCTGTGGTGCATCGGATTCACCTCGTTGGAGTCTAGTGGGTTATGCCCTTACTTGTAGCAGTTCAACCTCTGATCTCCAAGAACCATTCCGGCACACCCCATGAGTCCAAAATGGCAACACTCTGCGGCGGGAGCAGGATTGACACCCAGAACACGCACCACACTGTGGCAGAGACACGATTCCCACAAAATGTGTGGGCATTGTGGCGGGAGCACGATTTCGGGAGGCGCAATCACAAGTCGCAGCCAAATTCATGTCGCAGTGCGGTGGGAGCACGATTTCAGGAGGCCGACACGTGCGGGATTGCGGTGGGATTGCAACATCAGCACGGCACCGTGGCAGCAGCACAAAATCCGATCTTCACGAAAAGCCCAAACCTGTCAGAACGGCGTGATTTCGAGACTACACGAAGGCTTGGCGCTGATAGCTTGGCGCTGCTAGGGGTTTAGTGAAATTCAAAAACAAACGCGGGCGCGACTCGGGCAGCAGGATTTCCACCCCATAACACACCAAAAATGCACCACAATGCAGGAACACGACTCATCAAGTTGGACACATGTCAAAGTATCGGATTCTACAATGGAGAGAACGAACACCAGCTGCTATTTCGCAGACCTGAAGGATCGATAGGCCATGTTTTCACA